AAATCATTAATATCTAGAATTCGAACCATAGATTTTTCAACACTATCCTCCCCCACGAAATAATGTTGGATCTTTATATCCCCAAGTTATGAATAATGTGGCTTCATTTAAAACATGTTTCTCACATTGTTTAGAGTAAACATTAGAACTGTTTTTGTGATAAGGGTAAACAGCAGTTGATATGAAATCATCCGAAATGTAATCAAACTCGAGGTCACTTAGTACTCGTGCTTCGCATTGAGCAGGTTTTTCACAAGGATCAAATGCATTATGAGGATAGGTAATATATGATATGACATCAGGATTTGATTCTTCTGAAATATTCTCATGAAATTCATGCAGAGCGAAAAAAAAAAAATAGGATCGTTGGAAAAATCAGCATCTATCCAAACCACATCAGGTTTTCGATCATGATTAGGTTCATTTAACATATTTTCCTCAGAATTGCAAGTAATTTCATTAGAAATATGTGAATCATTAGGAAAAGTCATACCTGGTACAATAGCATGAGAATTCTGATAAATCGGTTGATTAGGAACTGTTGTCTCACAAGAATTCTGGATTTCATTTAACTCTGAACTGCCATATGACTCTGCACTGTCTTTTGAAATCGTTGATAAAGATAAATGATCATCATGAATACTCGACTCAGTAGAATCAGAATTACAAGACTTAATATTAGTTGCAGTAAGATGAACATTAGCATTACAAACTGACTGAACTTGTCCAATATCACGACATTTGAAGCACTTAGAATTACGAAATTTACATGAATTAGAAGAGTGGAACTTGCAACAGGACAAACACTGACCAAACTTGTCCCCATCCTCGTGAACTGCATCCAAACTCAATGAATTGTCTGCATAACCTTGAGTATGCACTGGGTCAGGATGACGTAGTAATGTAGTGGTGTTTTCTATATCCTCATGAATCATTTTACGAGATCTTCCTCCTTTACCGCATTCGAAATTTGTATAATTAACATAGTCTAGCAGCAGTTCCTTGAGAGTTGTATAACGAAGCGAGATAGGCTTTTCCGGCATAGTCAGAATTCTTAATAAGCTGTATGCTTCTTTTCCAATGAATGTGAGGAAGTGTGCCACAATATTAACATCCTCATCATCTTCCTTGGTCATAGCCCAGATTTCGAACCTTTCAAAGTAATCTTCAAAAGCTTCCGAAGTTGAATGAATATCTAACTTTTCCATTACAGGCTCCATCGCGACGCCAATATAATATTTTGAATAATTTGAATTGTATTATGAACTAGGAATCCCAGAATTAACGCAATTGAATTAAGAAGTGAGACACAAGCACAAACGAATGTATTGTATTTGGAATTCGAAATCGAGCATTCAACAAGTACAAAGGTATCATTAGTTCATTCAAACACCACAGTTGCATTACTAATCAATTGTGAAAAACAAATTACATAGAGTTGAAATATGGTTCAAGGATTTCAAGTAGACAAAACAATAGACTGAAGGAATATTTTGGGATGATTAGTTTTTCAGTATAGGGTTTTGTGGAGATTTTGTTATTTCTACAGATTATAAACCACTGACTTATCTCATTGAGAACATCATTGAAAGTTATCTACCGCAGGCTATGGAAGATGGTCTCGCAACGTCATGAATTGATCAAAGTTTGATAATAGAATCTTTGGGCCCTAGTTTAGTTGTCTAGATGTTAGACATTTGCATGCGAGACCGAAGGTCCCAAGTTAGTTTCCCGGCTGCGAAATCGCGAGTGCACACTGCTGAGGAGCCTCATACTAGGACGAAACGGTTGCCTAGTGTTCCCACGTTTATTGTTGTGGTCTAAATAAAATCATTTCGTGATCTAAAATCTATGAAAATGAGTTTATCAATCGGTAGAAGTTTGTTAAATGTTCGGACGATCCATAGATAATTAATTAAGCTCAAATTGATGTCACCTAGAGATCGTCATTAGACTGAGAAGAATAAATCTGTCTAACAGCTACTTATTTCGTAATGCATACTTCTAAGTCATGATAAGAACTTGAGATCTAAAACCAAGCATAAGTTCATATGATCGGATTTCAGTCACACTTTTTTCTAATGGTGCATGATGACACCTGAACTTCATGACTTAAACGATTGGATTTTTGAATTTACAACTCGATGGATGAAAGTCAAGTAGTTTGATCGTTATATTGCCATTTAAATGAGCTAGTTTAGTTGAAAGTGGACACAAGTGTCTGATGGTAATGATATTGAATCAAGGTTCTAATTTAACTCAAAAATTCACTTATTCTCCAAAAACAAGCTATCTGTCGACACCATTTCCTTATTACTGATACAATTAAGGTTTATTATCAGAAGGGACTTTGTGGAGATTTTAGTAATTTTATAGTTGAGTTCATGAGTCAATTGAAGCTAGACCACCATGGAAAACCTGGAAGCATTTGACGGCCGTTTCGTCTTAGTATGGGACTCAGCAGGGCGCATCCAGCGCCCACGTATGAAACTGATAGTTCCTGAGTTTGAATCTCGCGAGGCGGAATCGTGGATGCGCACTGCTGATGATTCCTATACTAGGGCAAAACTGCATTCTAGTGCTTCCACGTTTTCCATGATGCTTTAGCTTCAATTAACTTATGAATTCAACTATAAAATTAAAGTTAAGTCACTCAATAAATCGTGAACATTTGTTCATATGAGAAGTGTTTTTGCATAATTATGCCGTTAACGTGACAACACATTGTTCTATTAATTCCTAATGCAAAAGACAGTTGTCAACTACTTAGTATGTTAAATTTCAAAATACTGTATGGATGACCTTGTTATAGGTTGTTGTGATGGATAGAATATCAAACTGGTAAGTTCAAAAGCTGAAAGAATAAACATTTAATTATAATTAGAAATTCTTCCTCAAAATGTAAACACTTTTTTCTAAACAACGTATTTTTATTTTATTCTTCTTGAAATATGTAAAAACAACGATCAAAGCCGAATAATGTAACTTTAGTTTCATTCGGTAAGCTAACAATAATACTCAACTATCGAAATTACGAACGAAAATGAGGTGATTTATTTGCTAGTTAATTCAAATAATAGTGTAGCAAGGACTGTAGAAATCCGAATAAATTTTAAAAAAGAAACCATATGAATGTTAAGTCTGATACTCTAATATTTATCAATGACTAGCAAACCCCTTCATAGTTTTCCAGAGTACTTCTTTACTTGAGCTACCGAACGGTAGACAGAAGGTGGGAAATATGAACAGAATCAGTACTTCTGACGTTAGTTTATATACAGAAAACAAGGGTATTTATAAGTTTATTGCTATGCTCAACACTATGGAAGCTTCTGGGAGAACAGTGAATTTAGTAACTAAAGAAATAATACTAATTTAGTAATTTAGCGCTGATTAAATGAAGCTCTTTCAGCCTCTTTCCAGATTCCTAAGTGTTTTCCCTAGGTATTCTGTGAAGTTTCCAACACCTAGATATTACAGTCACTTAATGAATTGAAATGTAGTAGTTTGAAGTGTCTACCGGACTAGTTACTTAAATTACTTCTAAGGCTTGAAATAAAGATAACATATATAATAATAAAATTTTGACACAAAATAGTTACTTTTCTCATATTATCACCAATCATTGATCCTAATGATAATATTTCTTAAGTAGCAGTTCTAGTTATACTCTCAGTTCTCTACTTCTTTGAAGATTTCAAGAATATCAGGAAATATACAATACTTCTTGATATATAAACTATAGAATCATGAATTAAAACTAGATAACCATTATTACTATACTTTTTTATTTTATTTGAAAATTACCTCTTTTTAGACATCGATTGTTTTTCTTTTTAAATTATATAGCATGTTTTATATTTTATTAATAAAATAATTTAATCACTGATATCACATGAAGAACAATTGAAGATTCAAAATATGTATGTCAAATTTATTCAATGTTTCAATTGAGTAATTTCTAGTATGTTTTTTCGGTGAGACTATAATTTATTGACGACCTTAGGACGACGCTAAAATGACCTTGAGAGTGTCTACCTACTTACTAGAGCTAAATGAGGGTTATAAAGCAGTTTGAAGAATAAGGAATATGATTTACAATTGATGGTTAGGGTTAGGAACTAGATTTATGGTTTTCATTACGAAATGACATCAGCTATAATACCAAGACTCTATTTAACCAAATGGGTGAATGATTCTCGCGCCAAAATCTAAGACCTGTTATCGTAAATTTGATTGGTTCGTCCATAAATTATAGTCTCGCCGTCTATACAAAATCGTTTTGTTTCTATCTCTACCTCTCTTAAATATACAATTTTGTAAAATGAAAATGTTCAAAGCGAAGATTAACAGAAAAGAAAAAAAGAAAATTGAATATTTAAACAACAAAATATTTTTCAAATATGATTTTAAGAAAAAAAACTGAATCAAACTTTATATATAGAAAGTTAATTTTAAATTAAGATTATGTAATATGACATAAATCACGTACATTCATATTGTTTAACTGAATCATAATTGTGTTTCATTAATTAGAATTTGAATGTATAAAATATTTAAATGTATTGTTCAATAGAATATAATTTGATTCAATTAAAACTTATGAATAAGAAAAAGTTTATGATTCAAATAAAGTTTTTTTTCAAAAAAAAAAGAAAAGAAAAGAAAAAGGAGAAAAGAGAATCCCAAAGAGATTAATAATCTCCAAAATTGGTGGTAAATGCTAAGACTTTTGGAACAGATAATCACAAGTACATTGACTTATGGGTTTACAATAATTTAATTAAACTGTATAAAGAATAAAGTCATATATATATATATACTAATAATAATAATAATAATTTTCTTAAAAATTACTCACTCTCCTACTACTTTGTATGTTTCATATTAACTTTGAATACCTTTAAAATGGAAATAATTCTGATAAGTATTTTGAATAGAGATACCTTATGATGATTAAAATCGTTGTGTTACTTTTTGTGTAAAAACAATAAAAATTGTTATTTTTCAAGTAATTCTTTCAATTTATTAATATAATTAATGGCACCACGTAATATTTCAACTTTAGCTAATCTTCTATCAGGTAATATTGTTAATGGTAAATGACGTTTTAATGATTCATAACCAGCATTCACACATCGAACACGTTCACGTTCACGTGCATTACGCAATCGAATGAAACTTCGTGCACATTCAAATGATGTTGATGATGGAGATGATGTTGAAGAAGATGATGATGATAATGATAAATTCATTAAATTATTATCATTTGATCTTATATGATGATCATGTGTTCGATGAATTCGTTTAGAATCTATTTTAGTTTGCATTGGATCATCACATTCACTATTGAAATTTTTCATAACATTAAATTGTATTGGTGTCTTTCTATATTCATTGATTCATTCATTTGATTTGAGCATAAACAAGTCCAGTTTGGTGTTGAACGTGTTAAATTATTTCGAAACCTTTTAGATGCTAATGATGGTGATAATGATGAGAATGATGAATCAACTAGATCAGATTGATTGGTATGATGTATCGACGGGGATAAGAGTACTTCTTGATGTGTATTACGATGATAGATCATATTACCATTGGATGTATTGGTATATATATATGGTAATAAGTTTGCTGAATGTTCTAAACATTGATTTAACATGGGTTTATAGTTTAGTGAATTATCATACAATGTTTTTGGTGAATTTACCGAATCCAGTACACTATTTTCTAATGTAGGTCTTGACACACCTGTTATTAATGCTGGTGATGTATTTGAATTGAGAGTTTCGTGATATAAAAATGAGTTATTATTTGGTTGAAATTGGTTTATTCTATGTATTTCTGATGGATTCATCTCTCTCATTGGATTCATCCTTGTGGGAACCATAACTCTATTATAAGTTTTGTTCTGAATACGACTATCCATATTAACAATAATAATAATAATAATAATAATAATAATAAATAATGGTTGGGAAAGAAATGGTAACTTATAATTACGTGTGTTTTAAAGACAAGAAATAAGGGTAGAGATATGAAACAAATAGTATAATTCCCATTACTAAATAACGGTCAATATTTTAACTGGTTAAGAATATTATATTTTGGAAATCCTATTGGCTCGAGACAACATTTTGCCCTGTAAAACTAACCAATGAAACAATTCACTAGGAGGGGGAATAATTTCTACTGGGTTTGACTATCCAATCAACGAATAGTTCACTAGATAGGAAATGCAGCTTTTTTTTAACAAAAAGTGTGATGTAAAATTTTGACTTGATTAGTGCTACTGGTTAACTATGTATTTACCTAATGAAAGTGAAGTCACCTTAAGACTGGAGGAAATTAATGCAAAACAAATAACATACAATATGTCACAGTGAACATCTGCAATAAATATTAAAGTTTTCAGTAGTAGTCTAACACTGATCAGTTTATAATTTCTATAAAATTCAACACTCTCTACAACCCTATACTGAGAGTTACCATGTGCTCACTAGCGACTAATTTCGAGAGGTAATTCTCGGACTTCTAGTGAAAAACCGTGACCAGGTGTGTGAAGCAGTCACCCACCGAAAACAATGGGAGATGGTTACACAACATCGTGGGTTGGTCGAAGTTAGAAATTAAAGAAGTTGGATCCCGGCTCAGCGGTCTAGAGGTTAGACGTTCTCATGTAAGACAATAGATCGTTGGCTTGAGTCACATGTGAGGGTAGTGAATGCGCACTGCTGAGAATAAAACGATCGTTTAGTGTATCTAGGAATTGGATGATGGTCTAACACTGATAGGATCATGGTTACAGTGAATTACTGAGATAACCATACCTACTACTTTGACACAAAATTAGAATAGAAATATTTATTCATTGTATTTGGAATCTCGTGATTACTTTAAACTGATGTATAAATATTGGAATATATTATGCAACAATTACAGTAATAATAGCAGTAATAACAGTAGTACCAATAATAATATGGTGGATTTTCAGCTAGTTTAACAGACATTAGTTACAATGATGTTCGGGGACAGTAATAACAAGAATTGTCAGTACCTGAGATTAGGTTAGTTAAAAACCAAAGCATTTTGTTACGTAATTGAAAGTATATAACATATTGATGATAATACTATTACAAATCATGTTCATCACTACACTAGAAGTTGTGTGTTTGAATCTATTTGATGAAATGGCTATGCACTGTAGGATAGTTATATGTTAAGACGAAACTTTCGTTCAGTCCACTTTGGTTTCTAGTGTTTCCTAAAATATCGATTGTCATAATAATAGTTATGAAGACGAACTAAAGACTGAATCAACTCACTTAAAAAGATTTTTTTCAAGGAAATATTTGAATAAATCATTATTGCATAGAAGAAAGGCATAGAAAACCAGAGAATATTAGATAAATATTTCAGTATTGTTCATTTTAGGATGGGACTACAGAACTCCGTAATTCATTAATATTTATTAGTGGAAGCAGCCTAATCTATTCATCTTGAAGAGAGCAAGAACATAAATTGGTAAAGAATAATATAAATTCAGAAGCGGGTTTTATGGAGATTTTATTGATTTAATAGTTGAATTCGGGAGTCACCACCGGGGAGCACTGGGCAGCCGTTTCGTCCTAGTATGGGACTCTTCAGCAGTGCGCATCCACGATCCCGCCGCACGGAATTCGAACGAAGAACCTATCGTCTCGCACGCGAACGTTTAATCTCGAGACCACTGAACTGACATCCAACGGTTTTAATGTCTAACTTCAACCAATCTACGAAATTTTATTTCGTTACATTCTCATCAGCTGCTTACAACCTATCGTATTTAAAACCAACGTTATTACAGATATTGACATACTTATACATACGAGAGCGATTAAAGATATGTGTATCATGATGTAACGAAAATTCCAATCGAGTTAATAAGGTCATCATAAATTTTGTTCCGAATAAATATTTTTGAGAGGGAAAGCTTCAAAACATTGAAATAGCGATTAGAACTTGTGGAGTTTGCAAACATGAGATGATTGTGTAGTGAAATGACTGAAAAACCTTATTGGTAATAAAGAAGGATATAAATTGGAATCAGTCATCTATGAATTGAAGAAAAAATGATAATGATGTAATTAAACTTTAGAAAGAGGTGAAATAATGAGCGAGGTAATATATAAAAAAGGCATAATGTTACAAGGGTAAAGAAAGATTTATTACTCCCTCTTTTTGGATACATAGATCTGGTTTCAGACGTCTTGATAATAAAGACAATTATGTGTATGAAATAGTCTATTTATATTGCTAATTATATACATAGATTAAGCCATTGATTGGTTAGTATGAAGTACTACCCGCTCCAACGAATTCAAATTCTACTATTGACTGATAAGTAAATCATACACAACCCTGTGTACTTTTCCATAGTTTTAAATCAGTGATTGATCCATTTTTGATGTATAACAAAATCTTCGTTTGTATTCCTGTTTTTTTGACTGTACCAAATCATATTATTCTTTGTTTGTGTCATGTCTGATCGAAGAATTTATGAATGATAATTGATAGGAATTATTGATGGACTATTATTACATATATTCTCATCGGGTAATTATTAAGTAACTAGACCATATATCAGAAGGGGTTTTGTGGATATCATGAGTCAATTGAAACTAAACCACCATGGAAAACCTAAAAGCACTGGACGGCCGTTTCGTCCTAGATTATGCTTATTCATATTCTTGTTATCTCAAGGTTTCAGTTTGCATATTGGCCACTGTTATATGATTTACAATCCCAATTTATTGGTTAGTCTGCCATACTCATAGCCACTTTGGGCTTGATCTTGTATAATTATTATTTTCCATTTCAGTGTGATGAGGTTTGGTCTGCTTGTATATAAACCATGTATGTCTGAAATATACTTTTTATATAGTGGAGACTAATATTTGTGTTCTGGACTGAATAGGCTAGGTTAGGCGAGAAGCTACTATACAGAAGATCAATAAGGACTAAGAGTTGACTCAAGGCCGCTAGTGTTGTTTTGACGCATCATTGGTTCAGCATAGGGACAAGGTCACAAAAATTGGCGATCTTGTAGCGTGATATTTGGCGGGCCATAGGACACAACAAGTATCTGGAATAGCATTTAACCATGACCTTCATTCAATATTTAAGCTTATTTTTATGTTTTAAAGTAGCTAGGATGCGTTTAGGTGAAAACTACTTAGTTCGTTGACGAGACCAGTAATCGCTGCTTTGTTACCACACAACCTAACAGCTGATCAGTATATCTTAACTCAAAACGATTTTAACAAACGGAGAATACTTTTTTGATTTTAACCATCAAGTGCCCGAAATTCCACAAACTCCTACAAGAATGTTATAACTTACACAATGTCCACTGGTAATGCAATCAATAAACTAAGACTACGTGAATTGGTGATAATCTGACAGGTTTATTATTTTTTTTGACGGGCTCAATAGTCAAAAGAACTCCAAGTAAAGTGATCAAAGGAAGAATTGAAAAGCACCATCAAGGACAACCGAGATCTAATAGACCTGTTCCTCAAGATTCTGAGACAGGCCAAAATTGCATAAACAAGAGACATCTCTAAAATAGATTGTTTCGCTAACAGGACTCCAACCTGGAATCCATTTAAGGAACTCGACAGGATATCAAACCATTTGATACAATCATAGGATAATTACATTAGCACTTTATGATGATGTTCAAACAATATCAAAAAACCTACAATTGAATAATGGCACAGTCGTGATCCATTTAGAAAAGTCACGAGCGAAATCAACTCAAAGACAATCAAGTGTTGATTATTAACATTATCGAAAACATCAAGTTTAACAGTAGAAGAATAACCAAACAAAATTCTGCTCCTGTAATAAATAAACTTTATAAATACAGGTACTTACGAAACAAAGCCAAGCAGACCAAATAATGGATTACATTAGTAACAACCCGACAGATCGCAAAAATAGTTTTGCATAGACACTTTTAGAACAGCTAAAACTAATTGCAGCGCTCTCACAACACAAAAAAATTGGAGGAACCTAATTCTCGTCCAACCACAGACAAAATGGCTATCCTACTAACTTTATCAAAAGTTGTCTAGCAAGTTGACGTATCATCTCAAAATCTTTATCAGAAGTCAAATCATGATATCATTTCAGAAAAAGAATTTCTGGAATCACAAGGATTCAGAATGTAAGCCTTTCAAAAGCCAATACAAGGCCGAAGGATACCAGGCGTAAGAGAAATGCAATACCAACTGCACTGGGCATTACAGTGGACAAAGTGTTAGCCTCTTTCATCTTCGAACTAGCAACAAAACATATGTTATTCAAATCAGTGTACGCAAGCAACTACAGACACGAACTAGGTTGCGAAAACGTCAAAATTGTGGACTGAGAATTTCTCGAATCAATAGGGTTTATCAACATAGACATTAGTTGCCAATCTGTAGGATCAGCCAACCACATGGTCAGAGGTCAACCGAACACGAAAATAGACATGAGTACTGAGACAATTAAGCCAACAAAACCTGTGAGGACTAGTTACAGACCAGATAATCAGAAAAAGTTGATTTAGCCTTTGTGAAAGAACTAAGTAGGTCACTTGTATGTAAATTAAGCCTTAGCGGTGTTATTCGAAACAGGAATGAAAGCTTCGTAATTAAAGCACTCAACTCAGAGAACACTACGCACTTAGAAGACAGTCACTTCTAACTATAAATCACAAGTAATCATTTCCGAATTTTAGGTTTGTACTTTTTACATTGAGCAAAATTTATGGAGAAGCCAACTCTGCCTTGAGCCCCTCCGGGGGCTACTGCCGGTCTCAAGCCCGGATGAAGGAGGAGGGCTGGGCATGGGGTTAGCGACCCCATCCCGTAGAAAACCAACTCTCTAAAGAACGCTAACCATGGAGAAACCGGTATTCTGAATGCTTTTATAATTTTGTATCTATCTTCATAGTATGAAAGGTTAATGATCAATGGATATTTCAACTGTAGCAGTTCAATTCAAAACAAGTATTCAGTAAATGATGTAATGTAAACATTTATCCCCAAGGGTTAGTGCTATCGCGTTGTTGATATTATGGATTAAAATTTAACCAATCTCTGTCGAAATATGAGCATCTTGAGTGAATTTCACAATATTGTCATTTCACTACAGTTTATGTGTTAGATTCATGTTACTTATGTATGTATAGGTGAGCTATGTAATGTTATTACAAAATTCAATCCAAGATGTCTGTATTATTTTATTAAACATCAAACCTATATTGCGAAACTTCTATAAGGATTGAAGATATGACAGACCATTATTTCCACTTTCCTCAATATCATGTAGTTTTATTGTGAAGTAAGAAAAAGTTAAGTCATTTGATAAATATTATGTTGTATTTCACTAAAACAATAAACAAATAAATCCAAGCATAAAATGCCAACTAGTAAATTGTGATAATTATGTTAGTTAAACTTTTACGAAATTACTTGTTTTCGGTTGAAATATTCCAATTTTGATCATGTAAACCATATTGTGAAGCCAAATGATCAACTAGATTTTGACTTGGTAAATTAACTAACCATAATAATAATTGTTTGCGTAGATTTAATTCTGAATCATCTGATTTACTGGATAAATAACTGATCTGGACACATAATTAATAATAACAAAGAAGGTAAAGGATACTTATTTTAAAAAAGTATCATATGAAATGTTATAGATTAAATAAAAGACTGAATTCAGTTAAATAACCAACGAAAGTCAAGAAAAAATCTTCAACTGTCTTAACCTAGTATGGGTTTACTCAGTAGTGTGGGCCCACGACCCTACTGAGGGTTGAGATCAGGGACTTCAGGTTTCGTGGTGAGCACTTAACCTTTAGACTACCGAGCAAGAATCCAATAGTTTACATGTTTAACTTCAATTAATTTGCGATATTGTGCGACCAACTACTAATATCAGAGATAGTTAAGAGGCCTACACTTGATTAAACTCCACTGATTAAGGTTTCTCACTAAAACTCCGGGAATTACCCATAGAAACCAGTTACTAGTGACTATAAGGTTACTGTGATTATACGGGGTTTATGGATAAGATTTTTCAATTTGGTATCTGTATAATCCTCACAGATCGTTCTCTCTTCATATATATCAAAAACGTAATTCCGAGGGCCGAGCGGAAGGTTTACTTACCAAACTTATTTCACTGGATTATACTCTTTAAATAACATCTTCAAACCCTATTCCTTCCGATTACTGCTTATATTTTTACTACCTCTACCATTATGGGATTTGAATCGACAATTGTATCTCTGTGCTAATGTGGTATGGCAACTTGAACTGATGTAAGTACGTACGAAGTTCTACGTCGTTACTGACTAACTGAATAATTATCTCGGTTCGTTTAGCAAACTCTAAACAAAATGAAGTCATAATATCCTAATATCCCTAACCACGACATGTATTTGAGAGTGTTGAGACATAAAATATGCAAATTTCATCCTTAAAGTATCAGACAGATATTTATCAATAACATAAGATTTTCAGTGGTTTATGGGTTGTATTACTCAGGACTTATAGATGTTACTACATACTCAATACCCTGAGGCAAACAACGGAGGAACAACATAGGAATTAGTAAAAATGTACATCAGTTCGACTTGCCACACTTTATATTGATAAACTAAGGACATCGATGAAAAAAGTGATCCAATGGTTGGAAATCAAGTGTTCGAACCTCTAAAGCACTATTCCATTTTTGCACACATCCGAACCTTTAACCAATCTTACAGGAGAACATGACAATCTCCTAAGCCGATAGAAAAACGGAGATCTGACCTGTGTCACACATCGACTAAGTGTTTAAACGCTAAGCGAAACCACTGTGTTTGTGGCCACGTTAAATCAACCACCAACTTATGAGGGTTGATAGGACCTGGAAGCGGGATGATGAATGTGTCCAGCTATTTTACTTTATAGTAAAACCAGCTACCGAATTCAACTAGTCCTGAAGCGAAATTTTAAATATAAGAATGAAAAAAAGATGTAGTAAGGATCCGAGAATTGTCACAAAATGTTAACAAAGCTCAAACAAAAATAAGTTCAGTGATGAACCTATTTTTTAAGTGCATGCAATCCGTGTCGTGATGCATTCTGATATCTTATCCTTTTACAAAACAGTTTTTCCCATACTAGATCCGATTTATAGAATCAATGAGTGTTGGATTGATACTTACAAATTTTGGAACACTGAACATTTTCCTAGCTGTAGGTACTCCCAACAAATTAGTCATGAGCTGCAAAGAGAAAATACAAAAATAAATAACAGCCCATAAACAAAAGGACACTCAAAAGAAATGATCTCTTGGTGGTAGATTTCATAAACTGATATCATCTGAAGAATTATTGAGAAATCGGAAAGCACAATAGAACTAGTTCGTGTCGATTGCATAATTCCAAGTGGTGCACTTTAACTTCTCTTAAGATTGACCCCATAATCAAGACGAAAACCTGTAGGAACAAGCCATTTCTTCATGGTCCCCATCAGTCAGTCAGTGACAACGTAGAACTTCGTATATACGTAAATCAGTTCAAGTTGCCACACCACATTAGCGCAGAGATGCAGTTGTCGATCCAAACCCCGTAGTGGTAGAGGCCGTAAGAGTATAAGCAGTAATCGGAAAAATTAGGGTTTGAAGAGTATAATCCAGTGAAATAAATTTGGAAAGAGAAAAAAGAGACAAGGAGGATTCAGGGGATTAGAATTTGGGGGAACACAAAAAGTGGATGCACCTGCGCCATTGCAAACGATTTTGAGCCGTGTCATTCAGGGTCCCTAACCATCGGTTGCTATCATCTCGCGGTCCCAAACCAGGTAGTCTACACCAACCAACATGGCTCAGTCCACTTGTCAGTGACTTCATGGACTTGTGCCATGTTTTGGTCTGGCCGCCCTTAGCTTTCTTCCAACCTACTCCTATACTATTGAGCATCCATGGTCCCTATAATGTTATTTAAGAACATATGTAAAGGTTTGTTGGTGAAGAAGTAAATTACTTGATATTGATCCCATGTAAGTATCAACTAATTTTTAACTATTTAAATTTGTCCTACCCTGTGTACAATACTATTGATAGTCCTGGAAGATTCACCTGAAGATCCAACTAAATTCCATTTCAAACATGTTAGATGATAAAATGAATATGTACTTTCTACACACACAATGTAACTCCGCCTGTATCTCTTCTAGGGCTACTGCCGGTTCCAAGGCCAGGTAAAGGAGGAGGGTTGGATATGGGGTCGGCAAGCATATCCCGTAAAAAATCTTTGCTGAAAAAACGCTAACCAGAATAAACAATTTAAACGGATTTAAACTCTGTCCTGGAAGTTGAAGGAAGAATTATGACGCCTCAGGATGAAAGCCGAGACTCTTCTGGAGTTACGAAGACAGTGCTTCTCCTAACAACCAAAGCAACAATTTTTATGGATATATGGAACGTCTGGACAATGTGGGAGACCAGAATGACCAGTCAAATAGCAAAGGGAATGAGATAAAAGTTGGTATCACTCGGAATCAGTGAAACTCATTGGCCCCACTCTGTACTCTGGCCACGAAGAAATAAATGCTCCACACACTGAGGAAGTTGTCCCAATGCTGTCCAAAGAAGCGAGAAATGCACTTATTGGGTGAGAATCTCATGGATCCAGGATCATCAAAGCACCCTTCGAAACAAAGGACGAAATCACAATGAATGTTATCAAATGTTATGCACCCATCGATCACAGAAACGACGACGATAAAGCTCAGTTTTACGAGAGGCTGCAACCAATCATAGCGAAGTGCTTGGGAAACGACCTGACAATCCTGATGGGAAACCTAAACGCCAAAGTCAGAATGGACAATACCGGGTATGAAGATATCATGGAACGACATGGACTTGGAGAAAGAAACGAGAATGGGAAGGGATTTTCAAATATATGTGCAGTCAACAAATTGATTATAGGCGGAACAATATTTCCACACAAACGCATACACAAAGCTACATGGGTCTCATCGGACCACACTATGAAGAACCGGATAAGTCATATTTACATCAGTAAAAAATTCACAAGGTCAATGGAAGACGTGGGAATCAGGAAAGGAGGTAAAATAGCTTCAGATCCCCACCAACTGGTGGTTGCCAAGATGAAACTGAAACTAAAAAGATACTGGACAAACAGCATTACAAAGGTTCAACACAGTCTTCCTTCGAGATACTGACAACTCAAGGTGACTCTCAACAGCAGGTTCCAGGTCTTACAGGATCTACTGAAAGAAGAAATTACTATGGAGGACAACTGGAAACGGATCAGAGAAGCACTAGCTTCAACGTGTCACGAGGTTTGGGCTGCAACTAGCTTAATCATCAAGAATGGATCTCTATCGAAACCCTCGACAAGATTTAAGAAAGGAGGAACAAGAAGACAGCAATTAAAAACAACAGAGAAAGTCAAGGTACAAACTGAACACACTGAAGCAAACAAGTGAAGAGGAGCAATAGAGCTGACAAGCAGAAATACGTGGAAGACCTAGCAACGATAGTGGAAAAAGCTGTAAGAGAAGGAAACATGGCGCAACTGTATGATACGACGAAAAAACTAACAGGGAGATATAGTAAACCAGCGAGACCAGTCAAGGACAAAGAGGGCAGAACAATCACTGAAATACAACAGCAGAGAGAGATAGGTAGAATACTTCGAGGAACTCTTGAATAGGCCAGCCTCATTGAATCCACCGGATATCCAAGCAACACCTACAGACCTTCCTGTAGATGCCACTCCACTAACAATCGAAGAGATCACGATGGCCATCAAATAAACCAAGAGTGGGTAGGGAGCAGGACCAGACAACACACCAACCTGATGCAATGAAGTCAGTTATGTGAATAGCTTCAAAAATGATGCAAATTCTATTCTGGGAGGAGGGACAGGTGCTGATGGATTGGAAAGAAGGACACCTCATCAAGAAACCAAAGAAAGGAGATCTGAGCAAATACGAGAACTACAAAGACATCACACTACTGTTAATACCAGGAAAAGTTTCCAACAGAGTGTTGCTGAACCGGATGAGACTCAGTAGACACCGAACTTCAAGATCAATAGGCTGGATTTCGTAAAGATCGGTCGTGCACAAACCAAATTGCGACGCTACGGATCATCGTTGAACAATCAGTTGAGTGGGACTCACCACTATACATCAACTTCATTGACTATGAGGCGTTTGATAGTGTAGATAGGAGAACATTATGGAAACTTCTTCGACACTATGGAGTACCTAGGAAAATAGTCATCAAAGTGGTGCATAGAGGACAGCTGACAAACGCATTACAAGTAAGGACCAGAGTTAGACAAAGTTGCTTAATCTCTCTTTCCTTTTCTTCTGGTGGTCAATCGGATTATGAAGACCTCCAAATCTGACAGGAAGCATGGAATAAAATGGACAGGTTGGATGCAACTGGACGATTTGGACTTCGCAGATCACCTGGCTCTTTTATCACATACACACTAACAAATCCAGATGAAGACGACCACCGTAGCAACAGCCTCTGTATCAGTAGGCCTCCACATACACCGAGGAAAAAATAAGCTCCTCAAATTTAACAGAGAACACCAACCCGATCACACTTGATGGAGAAGCTCTGGAAGATGTGGAACCTTTCACGTATCTGGGTAGCAACATTGGTAAACAAGGAGGATTTGATGTAGATGTAAAGGCAAGGATTAGAAAAGTAAAAACAACATTCCTACAACTGAAGAACATATGCAACTCAAAACAAATACCAGTCAACATCAAAGTCATAACATTCAATACGAACGTCAAGACAGTTAGTTCTATTGTATGGAGCTGAAAATTGGAGAACTACTACAACCATCATCGAAGAGTACAGGTATTTCTAGACAATTGTCTACACAACATACTGAATGTTCATTGGCCGGATACCATCAATAACAACCTACTATGGGAGAGAATAAACCAACTTTCAGTTGAAGAAGAAATTAGGAAAAGGTGTTGGAAGTGGATAGGATATACATTGAGGAAATCACCAGAATGCATCACGAAGCAAGCGCTAACTTGGAATCCTGATGGGAAATGGAAAAGAAGGAGGCCAAAGAACACACTGCGCCGAGAAGTGGAAGCAGACATAAAAATGATGAATAGCAACTGGAAAAGACTATCCAGGACAGAATTGGATGGAGAACGCTGGCGAGCGGCCTATGCTCCTCCATGAGGGGTAACAGGCGTAAGTAAGTAAATACGAACACACACTGTAGCACACGTCTTTTACAATAAATAGTTGAAATAAAGTATACACACATCCAATATACCAAATCATTTTTCTGTAAAATGTACCTGAAGTATTAGATTACTAAATTTTTTCGACTTTTGTAGTTGTAGAAGGAGTTGCTGAGACGAGTCCGCATATTCAAGAATAGCGATCCTTCCCCTCAAAGATTCTGAAATTCTAAACGAAATTATAAAAGACTTGCACGATAATTCTCTACCGTGTAAAATTTATAAGAAAGCAATTGAATAAAATTATGGATTGCATATAAGCCTGTTGTGAAAATCATGATAAATGGCTTAGTTTATTTATATTATTTTCACAAACATAAATTGTACGACATTGAAATGGAAATTATATAATTTAATCAGGTTGTGCATGTATTGGTCACACTCTCACCCTTTAGTAAACATTAATTAAATATCCTATAAAAAGTAAGAATGGAGTTGTGTCTAGAAGAATATTTTCGAAAACTGTGTCTACGTAAAACTAACTATTCATAATCAGTTGTTGGGTATTCAAACTTAGTAGAATTAGACGTTACGACGAGTCTTCCGAGTAATTTCAATATTAAAACACCTGTTGAAAGTAGCAAACAATACAGTCAAAGTTCTGAATAACTCACTTTAAGTTACTTTTGAAACATTGATGTAACAACAACATTTAGACCGACTGGATTTAAGTGAGGTTAAGTAGTCAGATAATACACCAGAGAACTTAACAATAGCTCTCGTATGAAAATCCCAGTGAGAAAGTCACTTTCGTTGAAAATAGGACTGTAAGTCTTGTTGTTATCAAAATGAAGATTCGAAATATAATGAGACAGTTATTGAAATGTTCTGTTTAGTTATATTTATATGTATGTGATACTTGGACAAACAAATTCATGTTAACAAATTGTCGTTTTAATATTTTAAGATATACCTAATACATTTTTCATACACCCATTTTTGATGAGAAAGGTAGTTTCAGAGGAGACGAAGTGAATTTGACAGCACCATTCTAAAAAAACTAGTAAAATCAAGGAATATACAACACTAGTTTCCAGACAAAGTTACTAGTACAAACAAAATAGCAAGTAAATATTTACAAAAATTACCTGATCAATAGATTTAAACAGTAAGGTTTCAAGACTTCTTCAGCTTTAAACAACAGATTGAGCGTAGCATCACAACCTTGCAACCTTAATATATTGCGCAGTCCTTTCTCCTCCTGACTTGATAATTCAGAAGTTTAGTTTTAATAACACTAACGCTATCAATAGTAGTATTTTCAATGCTTCAAGTTTATATTCATGTGTGAGTGATAAAGTCAAACAAGTGATGATTTTTTCGATAATAACTAATGGATAAGTTTCATCGGATGCTTTCAGTAGATACAATAAATGAAATGCTTCCAAAAGCTTGATAGAATTGTTTTAAAGGGAAGCAAAGAGGTAGAAAAAATATGTAGAGGTAATATCACTGACAGAATATACACAATAAGTCGAAAATAAAATAAACTAATGCTTACATTCTTACGCACGGGATATGTTGAGGACTTTTCGACGAGAAGCAAACCAAGTTCATCTAGAAAAAACAGAGAAGTATGATCGATCTCAATTTACTTATTGTCATTTTTCCATTAATTCCCCATGATTTTGCTATACTCGTAATTTTTTTAATATTTGTGGTTCTGTTTTTTTCAGTGAAGTTATTCTCGCTGTCATCTAACGATACTGTCATCATTCTGAAGTGTTCAGAAGATAGATGAGAAGAAATTACAAATATACTAATCCAGAAGACAAAAGTATAGAAATGGTAAATTTACTCCTAATTGAACAAATGAGACAATTTTGTAGTGTAGTTTCAATGTATTAACATAACACTTTATTGTGTCATTCTTTGTCATAAGGTGTATTTCGCAGTTAAGCTGTCGAAATAGTCCTCATTTATGAAGTTTACGCCAGAATTCCAAGGAATCATTTTGTTATATAACAGAAAAAACGATTAGGATTGAAAAGTTCCTTAATAATAAACTGAAGCAGTAAGAATCTTTACTAAAACCTTTTACCAAAAAAATAATGAAAAATATCAAGTAACTTGATGTGCATCTAAATGACACGAAAATAAATTGGCTGGAGAAAACCCGTTACTAGGACTTCGAAAACGCGAATTATATTGAAGACAGAATATTCCTTCATTTTGGATTTAAAATGAATTACTGGGAGATTCATGTTTTATAAGTGAATTTATTTATTAGGGTCATGGAAAACATCTTCCAAGAGGTCTATGACTAACATGATAGAAGTGCCCGAAGCTTCAGGTAAGGAAATCAATACAGCGTTGACTGAACTCTAGTTTATCAATATTTCTGAACGCATACTCATTTTAAATAGATTTGGGACACCTAAATAGCAAGTTCGTTTGGGTGAATAATATACTTCGCATGTTTTTCAAGGGGACCAGTACTAAGTGGGGTATTATAAGGCTCCATTCTGGGTCATTTACTTTCTATACTTAGTATGAACGAACTCCCCAATAATATTTTGAGGTCATGACGACGAAGCTGGGTGAGAAGTAAAAGGAGATCTCGATCCATGTGTACTCCAACTCAAACAAAACGTTCTGATTAACTTGTATAAATTGTGGTTAACGCCTGTCAACGTGGTCAAGTAAGTCTAAGTGCATATTGGATACGCAAAGGTAAATAACTGCAGCATCAGGGAAGCATATGTGTTTGTAGTCCTGTCTCTCAATGACCGTGGAGAATAGTAAGTCACAACCTTAAGATCATAGCTCACTACCGCCTGGTTGTAGTTAGGAGGGTCAGGATTGCACGAGGATCAATATAAACAATTGTCAATTTGGTAAATATTTTCTACGGTATATACAATCACCGTGGAATCCACATAATACTAAAAAGTGATTTGCAATTGTATATCTTATTGTTTTTCACTAGATTAGGGAAACTCAAAGGATACTAAGAGTGAGTTCAAAACAATACACCCTTGACATACAGGTATTCCCCCAAGTAGTCAACTCTAGGGACCTGCTACTTCACGTAAGGGTGTTTACAGCTTCAATCTACTAGTTTAAGAGAAAACTAAATACTCAGAAGAGCTCTCTAGAGAAGGATTAACATAGGCCATCAGACTTTTTTTCGCAATATTCAAATCTAAGTCTGTGGTCAGAAATTCTCTGAGAGTTCAAAGGAATAAATATTTGAAGTGAATTAATATAAAAATAGACTATTTGACGGAGGCTAAGGTTTTAGTTTCAAGACCTTTCAAAAGTCATATATGTAAAAGGTTTCACCGATTCGCTCTGGGAGGGAAAAGGAGGGACAATTTGGTAAGTTGTAGTCGTTAGCTAATTAAGTATCCAAACGTCGCAACCAACCGGCCACTTTTATCCACTTCAGGAGTGGCGTAGATGTTGCCCAGGATAACTACTGCAGACTTAAATGAAATGCAGTATAGAGATTGATTAATGAAGCAAGTAGAGCTCAGAGTGGTACGAAACTATTTAAATAAAAGATCGAATAGAAATGCTTCCAAGTAGCTTAGAGTTTCCTGAAAATTGAGGCCGAAAAATGGCTAAGAAAAAATTGAGAGAATGCAACAGAACTTAATCCTTTCATACTATTTGGGACCAACTTAAGTATGTTTGTCACAGCGAAACTACTTGCTAGAGCACAAATTTCAAAGATGCACTGCCCTTGAACAACTCCTTGAGGTGACCAATCAGTTTCGAGCTAGAAGTGTGTCGCTTAAACAATAAACAAGTACAAGTTAAATCGGTAATATTATTGAGGTTGTATTTGATATCTTGTTTTTTAACTTCTTCATATGTGAAAAAGTTGTTTGATAGGTCCCATCAGTTGATGAGCAATCATTTTCAGCCAAGGTATCTCACCAACAAGAGGTACTGGGATTTCAAACGGTTGAATGTGTCAGCTTTACAGGACTATCTACAACAGATGGATCGGGATGATCACCCTCAACTCGATGTGGGTGCTCATGAGGACTTCTTACTGCACACGCTCTTATATGCTACAAATCAGTCTGTTCTTCAAATGGTCCCCGAAATCTAAAAGCAACCTACAGTCATCAAGAGCCTCACTCTTCGTTTGCTAAGCCGCAAAAGGCATTGTTCGGCGAAATAAAGACAAACTGATAACAACGGCGCGTACAGGCAGTACAAACGTATAAGGAACATATGCACAAAGGCAATAAGAAAAGACAGGCTACAGTACCAGATAAAGCTCATCGATAAGTTTGTTTCCAATTCGAAAGGCCTATTCGTTATGCAGCCTCTCTTCGATAAGACAAACCTGGAGTTTCCCAACTGCTAGGTCCTAATGGCCCGACCAATAACGACTGTGACGCTGTTGACCTTCTGGCTGAATAATACTCTCAGACATTTCAGCCGACCCACATTAACTATATTGATCAAGGCTTCATCTTCAACTACACAGGACATTCCAAAGTGAACCTGAGCGCTGACTTGAATTATTGGAAACTGCAGCACCTAGGAAAAGACATTTCTCCTGGCCCAGGTATGGTCCATTCTGCTATACTGAGGGAAGCAACCTCAATCCTGGCAACGCCGCTCAGCGTGATGTTTTCACACTCGCTAAGCCGAGGCAAACTACCGGAAAATTGGAAGTTAGCTCACATCTCACCAATTTTCAAAAGAGGCCGACGCAGCGAACTTTCAAGCTACCAACCAGTTGTCCCTCTCTCCATACCTTCAAAAATTATGGATTCCCTGATATGCGATGGTATGCACGACTATTTATTATCTTTAAACTTCTTTTCACCCCAGAAGCATGGTTTCAGGAAGGGTCATTCTTGTATAACCAACCTGCGGCGGCTAGATGAATAGCCATTCTTGGCCCCAAGGGGAAGGTTGACGTCATTTACATTGGTTTCTCAAAAGCTTTCGATAAGGTCAACTATACATGTCTTATCAATAAGTTCAAACGATTAGGTGTCAAATCACCTCTAATTGACTGGTTCACTTCATATCTAAAAAATCGACATTTTAAGGTCATGGTTAACTTCATTTTCTCTCAGGCTATGGAATATCCTAGTGGAGTCCTCCAGGGTTCAGCACTAGTACCTCTTCTTTTCCTGATTTATATAAACGATCTTCCATAACAGGTATCGTCTGAAATATTACATTTGCTGATTGTGTGAAACTTTGGAGAGAGATACGCAACCGAGAGGATATACTGCCACTTCAGGAGGATCTGACTCGACTTCATGATTGGGCGAATGATATTGGACTTGCCTTTGACACTTCAAAGTTCAAAGTAGTCCATCTGCGACATGTCGCAGACTACAGCTACAACTTAGACAATTGCCCTTCTAGGAGTATCCCAAGTTTAAAGAGATTTAGGAGTGCTGGTGCCCTAAGATTTGTAGTCTTACGCCAACCGTGACGAAAATGCCCTTCGAGCAAGCCATGAAGCGGTAGCATTGACGCATTTTGACCAGTTAGACGGAAGAACTTTCCACATAATCTTCAATAGTTTCATTCGTCCTCATTTAGAGTACGGAAACATAGTAATTCCTCCCTCACTCCGAAAGGATCAGGACACTTTGAAACGTATCCAACGGCGAGTCACGAAATCAGTCCGAGAACTCAAATTCAAGACTTATGAAGAGCGCCTCCGATTATTAAACCTTTACCTATTGGAGTATGGGCGTCTTAGAGGCGACCTACAGTATCTTAAACACTTCTGGAATTCCCCTTAAACACCTACTTAATTTTAGCTCCAACACAAACCTAAGGGATAACACCCAGAACCTAGAGACACAGTGCAACAGAACGGACTGTAGACACAACTTCTACTTCTTGAGAGTTGTCGAATGTTGGAATTTGCTGTCGTCTGGGCTGGTCCAAGCGACTTCTCAGAAGTCCTTCAAGAGGCGACTTGACCTATTCTTAAGGACTAAGGATAGTAACTTACTATGATTAACCAGTTTCTTTTTCCTCTATTATCGTTAATATACCTAGAATCCACTGCTACTAAACACGGAAGCCCGTTAAGTGGAAGCTTCTTCTATTATGTCCACAACCATTTGAACCATTATGAACTATTTGAAAATATTCGTGACAAGCCAGTCTAAACAAATTTATTTCTTTGAGCTTGGTTTGTGATTTAGAAGGACAGTTCCAGATCTCTGGTATATGTTTCAGTGTGCTAAAATCCAAAAGTTAGTGTAATACTCTAAACGTTGGAGCAAAATTTTTCCTGATTTTGCTTTGTTTTCTGGGTTTTACCTGCTGCTACTGAAGTCACTGTATTTATTCAGCTAAGCTGGCTAGTACTAACATAAGACCTTGCGCTTCTAAACGACAATCGGTTATGTTTTACCTTGTTTTCTAGATATTCAAAGCCGAAGTTCGTTTTTATTTAGCTAAAATAATTGTTGCTGCCGCCTGTTCGTTCCTAACTGTCCTGTATGATGTTATCGGCAAAATGAAAGGAAACGATCTGCGTTTTTTAATTTTCAGTATTATGGACAACACTATCCCACCAACGAGTCAAACTAATACAGAGTGCCCAGCAGTAGGGTATATCGGTATTGATTTCGAAAGGACCCAGACTTTCGACAACTATAGATGAAGTTACAGATGCTACCAATCTATTGCAGAGAGTTTGTTATGAAAAATATGCCATATAGCAGGAAATCTGCTACCAGTGTGTAGTGTATGTTTGCTGTTTTGGCCATAAAAGGAAGCCGAAGGGTCATGATCAGGGAGTAAAAAGGTAATTAACTGTTATTAAGCTCACTTCTTCATAGATCATATTTCACCACTCGCAAATTTGTGTTTTTTTACGGTATGATGTCAACTGACACCTAATATGTTCACCCTTACGATGAAAAGTACCTGCTAATTTTCACCTTCATATTCGAATTATTTTTGGACAACTGTCTTACAGTCTGAGTGCTTCGTACGTCCCGAGAAACTCTATTTCTACGACATTCGTAGTTCCAGTATAACTTTCTCACGCAGTAAGTTCAAATTAGACACTAGTCTTTCTAAATAGGCCTGTTAAGCTAATATCCGTATTCTCTATTTCAGTTAATCGATGAAGGCATGTACCACGTGCGTCTGCTGAATACTGCCATTTTACTCCAATTCTAACTGTTATATCTTACTTATGAAAAATAAAATTTATATGCGGCAAATACAGACTTATTTGTTTTGATGGAGATAGGAGGGTTCATGGGATGTTTAGCAGGACTGTAGTAATATTCTCACTAAAGAGCTAGGCGAGTGCGTAAACCAGTGTAAGGTACCATATGGGGTGCATTTGAGTTACTAGCGTCCCATTATTGCAGGTAGTGGTATTGCTTGTTTGTCATATGGCATTTGAATTAGAAGCTATAAGATAAGATGCAGGTACGGTTAGGATGTGTAACGCGTGTCCACCCATCAGCTGCCGTGACAACCCATGGTGGTTAGAATAAGCCATGAGAGGACCCGAGTCTGTAGGTCTCCCAAGAAAATGACGAAGATATGCACCAAGTCACCTTATGAAGAGCGTCTTAGGGGTGACCTAATGGCTTACAATAACCTTAACACTTCTGGACATCCCCTAAAACACCTACTTAAGCTTAGTCTCAGAAACTAGAGACACAATATAGCAGTACGGACTGTAGACGCAACTTCTACTCCTTAGTTGTCAAATGTTGGGATCCGCTGCCCGCCAAGCTAGTCCAAGTGACTTCCCAGGAGTCCTTCGAGAGGCAACTGGATCTATTCTTAAGGATTAAGCATGGTATCATACTATGAGTTACCAATTTCTCTTTCCTCTTTTATTGTTAACATACCTTGGTTCCTGCCTGGAGGTTTTGGTGACCCCCTGCTACTAGACACGGAAGCCTGTTAAGCGAAAGCTCCTTCCATTCCGTCCACAACCATTTGAACACATGAACTAGGTGCTGAGAGGCTCGCTTATCACAAGTTTTTTGCAACGATTAAGTAGATAAAACAAAGTAGCATTAGATTCAGAAATTTATTCAAGAACGTTCAT